TGAATTAATTCCAATAGCAATCAATTAAGGACATTAATTTTGAGATATTCACTTCATTATCAGATACTCAGCATCCCTCAAATATATTGCATTGGAACAATGTTCTGGGACAACAAATATGGAGCCTAGGGATTATCTGCAGACGTGAGTGCAACTAATTCTCCATCATTGTTTGCTAAATTGAGTTGTCATGAGAGCGCATATTTGATAACTATGGAGCACGGGGGTCTCTGCTAGCAGGAGGTTGAGCAGAGGGGTTGTTGCTATTTCTGCAGAGGAGGAGACGGAAGACTGCTACAACTAGGGTTTCTTCCTCTTTTAATTTTAGTTTTAATTTTTCAGATTTTATGTTTTTTTTCAGTTTTTTTTTATCTTTAATATTAGTTAAAATCCACATAAGCATCCATGTCATTTAATGAATAAATTAGGACCCTAGGATGTCATGTAATCAAAAGGTTTAAAAAGAGTGTAAAAATATTTGTAAAAATGTTTGTCCCTTAATCCTATCCCTATATATATATCCCTGAATATAGGTGTGAACACGGAAAATTCCTGAAACGAAAGAGACAAGAACAACGTGCACAAACAAGTGTTTGATGATTTTGGGTTACAATCTCTTAAATTTGATCCTCTGATTCAATCTCCGTAAGGTGTGTATTTGTGGATGTGCGATTGATCCAAAGGGCCGTTGGGCTTGATCTAAGGATGAACATTCTTCAAGGACCGTGGACTTGATCTTGAAGGTGGATTTAAGCGGATCTTCAAAGGGGCTTTTGGGCTTGATCTTTGAAGAACAGTGATGAACGGATCTCCAAGGGCTTTTGGCTTGATCTTGAAGAACGGTTGGATGTGTGGATTTGTTGATGTTGTTGATCCAAGGGGCCGTCGGGGCTTGATCTTGGAAGAATGATGAACGAAGAACACTTTCTTCAAGGGCCGTCGGGGCTTGATCTTGAATTTGGTGGAAGTTCTTCAAGGGGTTGTCGGGGCTTGATCTTGAAGGTGGATGATTGTTGATCCAAGGGGCCGTCGGGGCTTGATCTTGGAAGAACGATGAACGAAGAACGAAGAACGCTTTCTTGATTCTTCGGGAACCTGGATGCTTGAGAGCTTCGGAGTTTCAGAGCTTCAGAGCTTCAAGAATTTTGCCTAATGATTTTGGTCCCTCTCCCCAAATGAATGAAATGGGCTTGTATTTATAGAATTTTCCAAGGCCTAATTTTGAATATAATATCCCAGATGAAATAAATCGTTTCTGCCAGGTGTTGACACGTGTCCTATTTGATGACTTTTCCAACTCATTTCAATTTTCATTGAGTCACACGCTACGTGTAAAATTTATGTAATACATGAGCGTTGACACTTTGATTTATCGGTCAACATTTATTTACTGAAGTTTCAATGTCTACAAATGCCCCCACTTCAAGGCACGTCGTATACATGTGCTTGTCACGTGTAGGAGATGCGTTTTGAAGTCCCTTATTGTAGATGTCGATCTAAGGGCCAATTGAGGATCTTGAATTGGGCTGGAGATTCTTCAAGGGGCCTTTGGGGCTTGTTCTTGAATTTTTGTTTGAAATTTCTTCAAGGGCCGTTGAGGCTTGTTCTTGAACTTTTGGTAGATGATCATTGGCTTTGGTAGTGGATGAATCGGCACGTATTTTGTTGCACTTGTTGACTTTCCACAACTTATTCTTGAACTGGTTTTGATTCAAGGGTGATAGACACTTGATCTTGAATCGGACTTGTGATTTCCTCAAGGGCCGTCGAGGCTTGATCTTGAATTTGGCTGGAAACTTCTTAAAGGGCCGTTGAGGCTTGATTCTTGAAGGTTGACTCGAACACATGGCAGGCAGGCACGAGGTAAAGGTGACGACTTGTTGCTTTGTTCAATCTTTCTAATTCACACCTGAGCAGTTTGGTCAACGGTATGATCTTCAAGATTGATGGGCTATTCTTCTGGTTGGTGACTTGATCTTTAAGGATTTGATTCAAGGGTGGTGAATCGGCACGTGCAGCCCACAACGCCTAATAAGTCGACCCAAGAATTTGAGGGTCAAAACGAGTTCACCGTCCAAAGTGATTGCAACCCTAATGATATGAGATACTTTTGATTTTGAAGAAGTAGCGGATGACTCAGCACGTGCTTTGTTGCACTTGTCTCCATATGCTTCAAGGTATCATTTTCATTTCCTTTATCTGTTCCTCAGGTAGATGCGGCATCTTCTCGAGTTCTTCATCTTAGACTCTTTCTGCTGAGTTGACTGTGCATGCTGCATTATTCTCTGCTTGTTTCTTCAGGCATATGTGGCAGCTTCTCGAGTTCCTCAGTTCGGACTCCTTCTGCTGAGTTAACTGTGCAGACCGCATTTTTCTCTGCTTGTTCCTTCTGCACCTTGTCTCCACATGCTGCAAGGTATCATTTTCACTTGCCTTATCTGTTCTCCAGGTAGATGTGGCAGCTTCTTTAAAAGTACAGCAGCAATGGAAGACGAGTACTCGAGAGCAGTGCTAGGTAGGCAATCAGGGAAGGGTTCCAAGCAGTCGGTTTCTTACCCGAGTTTGAGTGGAGGTTCCGGCATATTGCTTTCTTTATCCTTGTCTTTGCAGGTAAGAACAAGGACAAAGGAAAGGACAGGGAGAACGCATGATATGAGATACTCTTGCTTTTTACCCTGGTGATATGAGATACTTTTGCTTTGGTGTCATTTGTTTGCAGAGGTACCCCAAGGAATAAGGAACACTGAGTGACTAGAGAGGCTTCGTTGGGAAGGCATTCTCGGAGATGAAGAAAGGTTCTGTCTGTTTGCCTTGCTATGGAGGGTGAAGGTAAACAGTTATAAGAAGTTTTTTTTTTTTTTAATACCTGTAGAGGTACTATTCTTTCACTCGTGTCGGCAACCATTGAGTGATTGATCAGTATGGCTTCACGTGCTTTCTTCTTTATCAGAAATCTTCGACAAATTGTCCGTAATTTCCGCCAAGCTGAGTGTGCATATGACAGGTGTTGACGAGGCTGAAAAAGACTGGCGCTTCTTCGATATCTGGGATCGGCGCTTCGACAAATTACGTGATTTCCGTAAAGCTGAGTTTGCGTGTGATGGGTGCTGACGCGTCTGGAAAAGCAAAATGCCTCTCCGATTTCTGAGCTTGCCTCTTCGTTTTTTGAATTGGCGTCTTCGAATTCTGAGCTTGCCTCTTCGATCTCTGAAATTCCGTCAAGTGCTGATTTTTATAAAGGCACGTAGTTCGTTTCAAAGCACACTTGAATTTTTTGCTTGTAGAAACTCCCCTCTTGCACTTCTACCATCTTGACTTGTCCGACCTCTTCTTTCTTTAACACCTCTGAAAATGTCTGGCCCCTCCGACCGTCGTTTTGACTTGAACCTTGGTGAAGAGGCAATCCCGCCTTCTCCAGACAACATATGGCGCCCATCTTTCATATCCCCTACTGGTCCTCTTACCGTCGGGGATTCAATGATGAAGAATGATATGACCGCTGCGGTGGTGGCCCGGAACCTTGTCACTCCCAAAGATAACAGACTACTTTCCAAACGGTCTGATGAGTTAGCTGTTAAGGATTCCCTGGCTCTCAGTGTGCAGTGTGCAGGTTCTGTGTCTAATATGGTCCAACGCCTATTTGCTCGGACCCGTCAAGTTGAATCATTGGCGGCTGAAGTGATGAGTCTCAAACAGGAGATTAGAGGGCTCAAGCATGAGAATAAACAGATGCACAGGCTTGCACATAACTATGCCACAAACATGAAGAGGAAGATTGACCAGATGCAGGAATCTGATGGTCAGATTTTACTTGATCATCAGAGGTTTGTGGGTTTGTTCCAGCAGCATTTGCCTTCGTCTTCTAGGGCTGTACAGCGTAATGAAGCCTCAAATGATCAACCTTCGGTGCCTCCTCCTCCTGGGGTTCTGCCTAGTACTGAGGCTCTGAATAATCACCCTCTGGTGCCTCTTCGATCTGGGGCTCCGCCAAGTACTGAGGCGCCATCTGATCAACCTTGAAAATCCCCTCCTGTAAATTTGATTTGTCTTTTTTTTTTTTTTTTTTTTTTTTTAAGTATGTATAATGCAAATTTATGTAAAATTTCCAGAATAAATAAAAAACGGACTTTATTTCTCTCCATGCATTTGTTTTTTTTTTTTTTTTTTTTTTTTTTGCTGAAAACATACATATATTATGCACACATACATACATACATATTAATTTTTCACGTGGACTGATCCACCATTCTTTTTTTTTATTTTTTATTTTTTTTATTTTTTTTATTTTTTTTTCACATGGTGCCAGAGGCACCAAGACTCCACCAATTTTTTTTTATATTATTTCTCCTTCTTTCCAGCTTGGCTTTAAAACAATCAAAACACGGTAAGTGGAGCACCCAAAACCTTTACAATTATTATATATTTTTTAATTTTTTTAATTTTTTTTTCTTTGCACATGGTGCCTGATGCACCCCTTTTTTTTCACGCAGTGCCAGCACCACTTTGCTCCACCATCCTTTTTTTTTTTAAATATATTTTTTCTGTATAAATTTGGGTGGTGGGTAGAGGAATTTACAGGGAGCGGAGCTCGAGTTTGAGGAAGAGCTTATCGGCCGGCTAGTCGTTTGACAGCGGTCTTTGAAGTTGTTGGCAGCTGCGAGGCAAGAGACGGAGGAGGTGGAGGTGATCTTGACGTCGGATCCAGCTAGAACCCAGAGCATAGCCACTGAGCCCAACCACCGAACACAGCCGCTGCACACCCGTTGTACTGCCACTGAGCACAGCCATTGCGCATCCGTTGCACTGCCACCAAGCACCGCCACTGATCGAGCACAGCCACAGAGCACCGCTACTGAGCACAGGCACATAGCACAGCCAACAAACTTCACCTTGTCAATTCCTACCGAGCCCATACCGACATCATGCACGCCATTCCTCTGACAGCCACTTCGTGATCACTCTCAGCGTCATTTTCTTGAGCTTGTTCATAGCGATGATCTCTAAGTCTTTGTAGAAGTGGGCTTGACAGAGTAGAACTTGTACTGGCCGCCACCGCTGCAAAACCTATCGCTCATTCTCTGATTTTTCTGTCGACCAGGAAAGCCATTAGCTTGTCCATTTCTGTTCCTGTTCTGCATCATTAGTGCCATGTTAACAAACCCAGCATTGAGTCCATGTCCGTTAGCTAGTGACGGCGGCATGAACTCCTCCGCCATGGGGTTGAGCTTCGAGAAGAGCTCCCTCATGTCCCGGTCTACGTCGTGATGATGATCCCCATTACTCATCTGAAAATCTCCGCCGTTAGATCTCTGCCGCTGATGGTGATGATTCGCCACGTGTTCAAAGCTCCCCCACTGAGCCGCCGCCACCTGATGTTGCCGTTGGGGGGGAGGGGTGACCATCACGGACAGATCCTGATCGTTGGGTGCGGTAACAGCACCACCGTTCTGGGGTGTCGTCGAAGTCTCCGGGTTCCGATTCGCCGAGTTCGACCCCACGCTCTTCCCAAGCTTCACCCTTGCATTCTCAACCACTGTCATAGCTCTTTCTCTCTCTCTCTTCCCTTTTTTGAAAAAGGAGTTCCTTTTCGGATTGGATTTGGGATCCAACCTCTCTCTCTGTTGTGAAGATCGTCTTCATTTGCCATACGACATCGTCTTAGGAATGGCGAGGGCTCTTCAACTCAGATTATGCTCTCCCTCTCTCTCTCTCTCTCACTCAGTCACATCACCATCAATACTATAACCACAATCTATTGGAATCATAAAAGAAGCAGCAGCAGGAATAGTACCAATCTAGAACGCCCAGCAGGTGTTTGAATAAATGCTTGAGAGAGGACAGAGAGAGCTACATCTACCTGGTGCAGAGGGCGATTAACAGCGGAGAAAGCCGGAGGCGTAGGCACAAAAATCGATGAGAAGGTTTTACAGTTGGAAACGCTGCCGTCTCCGATTGTGTTTGAGGAAAAAAAAACGACGACGTAGTGGAGACCGGAGGGGACACAGTAGTGGAGTAGTCCTTGTCCGATTTTGGGGTTTGAAAAGCAATCACAGTCGTCTGAGGTTTCGGATGGACCGAATCTGAAGCTGGTTTGGCCGATCCGCGACGGAACCGGGCATGACCGGTCCGGTTCAAGACGGAGATTAGGTGCTTGAACTTGGTGACGGTGAAGTCGCTGATTTCCCGGCAATCGAGTGGAGTGTGGGACGGGGTTTGATTGGATAGGGTGCGGATGAGGTGCTGCATGCTTTGCAGGCCGGCGGAGGCAGCTTCTTGCACGGCAGTCCGATCGTCCATCTTGGAGAAGCCAACTAGATCTATAGCCATCGAAGCTGGCTTTTGCTTTGAGAATACAGAGAGATTTGAGAATACAGAGAGATTTGAGAACCTTGACGAATTCGGCGCGTTAAGGGTCATCAACACGATCCCATCGACAAAGAAGAAGCAGAATGGGCCTCTTGCGTGGCCTATGGCATCAGCCGGTCTCTGGGCTTCTGGGCCAGTAAATTGGAGAGAGGCCTGGGCTTTGACTTGCAGAGAGATTGGGCTCTGGGAGCCGCTTGTAGTATTTTGGCTAAAGGGGTTGCAAGAGAAGTGAAAGGCATGAGTGACTTGGGCTTGTGACTTGAACTTTCTGCTACTGGGCCGAGACACAAGTGAGGATGGGCTTGCTGCTGCTTGGTGATCAGGCTGGGCCTGTGAAATGAAGGAAGCTTGATTTGTAGCTGAAGTCTGAGTAGGCATTGGACTTGACCGCAAATTGGGCTTGTGGCTTGTGGCTTGTGGCTTGAGCCTTTTGATGCTGCTGGGCCGAGACACTCATACATATATTTTTTCTTTTTTTTTGTTTTTTTTTTGTTTTGTAAATACATAATAACATATGTATTTATTTATTTATTTTTGTAATAAAATTGACTTTCTTTAATAAAACATTTATTTTTATTTTGATATGACTGAACTTGAAATTGAATGCTCGAGCTGCCTACGTACCCCTCCAAAGAAGAGATCAAGTCGTAACGTAGTTCAAATACATTTTCTTTTGGTGCCGTTTGTAGTTTCAACTCGTACAGGCAAGGAGTATGTTGTGTCGCCTTTTAAACTCGTGCAAACCAGGAGTGTTTGGTGCCGTGTTGCAGTTTCAGCTCGTGCAGGCAAGGAGCCTTGTGTCCTACAGTTTAGGCTCGTGCGGACAAGAAGCTTTGGTTCGTACAGTTTTAGGCTCGTGCGAACAAAGAGCATTGGTGTCGCCTTTTATGCTTATGCGGATAAGGAGCGTTGGTGTTGCTTTTTATGCTCGTGCAGACTAGGAGCATTGGTGTCGCCTTTTATGCTCGTGCAGACAAAGAGCGTTATGCCATGCAGTTTAGGCTTGTGCAGGCGATGAGCTTTGTGTCTTGCAGTTTAGGCTCTTACAAATAAGGAGCTTTGGTTGTCGCCTTTTATGCTTGTGCAGACCAGGAGCGTTGTGCCATGCAGTTTAGGCTCATGCAGGCGAGGAGCTCTGTGTCTTGCAGTTTAGGCTCTTACAGACAATGAGCTTTTGTGTTGCCTTTTATGCTCGTGCAGACCAGGAGCTTTGGTTCGTCAAGCGATCTGAGAGAGTCGTTCCTCGCAATCTTCATAGCAAGGAGCCTTGACTGAGTAGTTGAAGAAGTCTTCTGGGAAGATGTCACGCATCGTGATGGGGATGGATGATCTTCGTGTCAAAGTTTCATTATCTCCAACACTTTCACATTGTTCTGGAGGTGAACATGAGCTGTTTTGCCCCCTTTCCCATTGGTGAGCTTGTGGAGAAGACATATGCTTCTTGTGCAATTTCTTCGGAGTGACATAAGTCCATCCTTCAACTTCACTCGGCTTGACTGGCATGTTTTTGGAGCATGCCCCCAACGATTGAGGTGAAGATTTTGAGTTGACAGAGCCGGAAGTGACGTCTTCTTCCAGGATTTCGTCTTCTTCGTCTTCTTGGGCCTCCTCTTCAGTGCGGTCCTCTTGGGTTTGTTGACGTGAAGATTGGCCAGTGTAGGTGATGGTGCGCCTCCTTACCTTCAGTGGTGCTTTTGTGTCGACTTCCAAAGTTGCTTGGCGCTTCATCTTTGAAGGAATCAAGCTTTGAATATCGTTTTTTCCTGCTAGACTGTTGAGCTTCTCTCCCTTTGGCGTTGTCCTATTTCTAGCAGGCTTCTTAGTTTCTTCAAGTCTATCCAAAGCCGACCGTTGCGGAGGAGATCTAGCTGTGCTGCTTTGTTTCTTGGTTTTTGATAACCTTTCAAAGACAGATCTTTGCGGCGTTGGCGTTTTAAGCCTTTTGAAGACGGAAGTTTGGTCTCGACCACTGATGCGATCAAGTGCCGAAATTCTAGGTTTTGAATAATTCAGCCTTTCTAAGACTGAAGTTCGAGGGGCGGGTTTAGGCTCCTCTTTTGGCCTTGTGGCTTGTGGTCTTGGCTTCCTTGTTTCTTTGTGGGTCGTCGATGTCCACCCTTTCTTATCACCAGTAGCTGCATCTTGGTTGCTTGCCCCCGGTGATGGTTGTGTATGAGGTGTCTTTTGACTTGAACATTGACGGGAATGGTCATGCATGCTTCGGAGAGGCACATGATTAAGTGATCCAAACATAATAGTAGTAGTGTGTGCCGCAACCGTGTCTTCGAGGTCAAGCTCGATTTTCCCTTGTTGTGCTAGCTTCAGGATGAGATCTTTCAGTACGAAGCACTTTTCAGTTGGATGACTGATGAAACGGTGGAATTTACAGTATCTTGGACTATCGGTACGATTCATCTCTTCCGGCTGTCTGCACTCAGGCAAACTGATCACCTTCTTGTCCAACAGGTCACCCAGCATGGTAACCACATCAGAGTCGGGGAATGGATAAGTCTTCTCTTCAAGCTCCTTCAAAATGCGTCTACGCATCTCTTGATCACGAAAAGCTTCGGTTTGAATCGCCTTGCCTCGTGTAGGGATTTTAACGGGAGCTGTGTTGACCGTCATTGCTTCCTTGGTGGGTTTCCATGCAGCCTTTTCCACCTTTGTCCCAAAAACTTTGTTGTCCTTGTAGTCGGCGATCGATTCTTTCTTCCCATGACGGGCGATGCTCAACTCCATGTCATGGGCGCGAGTGGCCAATTCCTCGAAGGTCCGTGGTTTAATGCCTTGAAGGATGTATTGCAAACCCCATTGCATGCCTTGGATGCACATCTCGATTGAAGAGGTTTCCGAGAGCCTGTCTTTACAGTCGAGGCTTAGAGTGCGCCATCTGTTGATGTAGTCAATGACTGGCTCATCCTTCCACTGCTTTGTGCTCGTTAGCTCTAGCATGCTCACAGTGCGACGAGTGCTGTAGAAGCGGTTGAGGAATTCCTGCTCTAATTGCTCCCAGCTGTTGATGGACTCAGGCTCTAGGTATGTGTACCACTCAAAGGCGTTTCCTTTCAGCGAGCGCACAAACTGCTTGGCGAGGTAATCCCCTTCGATCCCTGCGTTGTTGCAAGTTTCAACAAAGTGGGCAACGTGCTGTTTCGGGTTTCCCTTTCCATCGAATTGCATGAACTTTGGCGGTTGATAACCCTTCGACATCCTTAAGGCATCAATCTTCTTTGAATACGCCTTGGAGTACAACCCGGAGGTATTTGAGCTCCCCTCGTATTGTGCCTTGATGGTGTTGGTGATCATCTCCTGTAGCTGCTGGATAGAAAGAGATCCCATGAGTGCCGCTGCTTGGTCTGGCTCCGGCTTCCCATCGATTCTCTCCACCGGAGGCTCATCTTTTTCGCCAGCTCCTCCCTTTAGTGGATCATCCTCTGGGTCGGGTTTATCGCCGTCCTGCGCCTCCAGTCGGTTGACTAGTGCTGCAATTTGCAAGTCTTTTTCTTCCACAGTTCGGGTTAGCCTTGCGATTGCTTCATTCATTTGAGCCAGCTGCTCATCGATTGAAGTTGCTCCAATGGTCATGACTTGCATGGCTGAACTGTCGCTTGAATCGGCATCGGAGAGCATGGATTCGGAGTATTTCCTTGGGCTTTCCCCTCTTGGTGCCCTTAGTGAGGCTAAGGTGATCAAAGGCTCGTGCCTTGGGTGCTCTTGTTCCCTTGGTAGAGTTGATGTAGAGGTGAAAGAGGCGGCAAAACTAGCTTTTGCCATGCTTCGAGTCGTGATGCCCAAAGTGACACCACTTGCGAAGATGACGCTCTTGTTTTTTGCGCCGGTTGCGGGAACAGTTTGAGCCTTCCTTGATGCCATTAATTTTGGAAGTGTGCTCGAATTTCTTGAACGGAGAAAGAGATGAGAGGTAGAGATGGTCCCACTGGGCGTGCCAATTTGTGAACACGGAAAATTCCTGAAACGAAAAAGACAAGAACAACGTGCATAAACAAATATTTGTGTTTGATGATTTTGGGTTACAATCTCTCTTAAATTTGATCCTCTGATTCAATCTCCGTAAGGTGTGTATTTGTGGATGTGCGATTGATCCAAAGGGCCGTTGGGCTTGATCTAAGGATGAATGTTCTTCAAGGGCCGTGGACTTGATCTTGAAGGTGGATTTGAGCGGATCTTCAAATGGGCTTTTGGGCTTGATCTTTGAAGAACAGTGATGAACGGATCTCCAAGGGCTTTTGGGCTTGATCTTGAAGAACGGTTGGACGTGTGGCTTTGTTGATGTTGTTGATCCAAGGGGCCGTCGGGGCTTGATCTTGGAAGAATGATGAACGAAGAACAAAGAACGAAGAACACTTTCTTCAAGGGCCGTCGGGGCTTGATCTTGAATTTGGTGGAAGTTCTTCAAGGGGCCGTCGGGGCTTGATCTTGAAGGTGGATGATTGTTGATCCAAGGGGCCGTCGGGGCTTGATCTTGGAAGAACGATGAACGAAGAACGAAGAACGCTTTCTTGATTCTTCGGGAACCTGGATGCTTGAGAGTTTCAGAGTTTCAGAGCTTCAAGAATTTTGCCTAATGATTTTGGTCCCTCTCCCCAAATGAATGAAATGGGCTTGTATTTATAGAATTTTCCAAGGCCTAATTTTGAATATAATATCCCAGATGAAATAAGTCGTTTCTGCCAGGTGTTGACACGTGTCCTATTTGATGACTTTTCCAACTCATTTCAATTTTCGTTGAGTCACACACTACGTGTAAAATTTATGTAATACATGAGCGTTGACACTTTGATTTATCGGTCAACATTTATTTACCGAAATTTCGATGTCTACAATAGGTTCTAATTTTCAACAGAAATCACAAAAATTAGGTTCACATCCTTCTTTTTGTTACTCCATTGATTAAAATCCTATTCATTTTGAATTTTTGATCAAGGTCCTTGGGTATTAATAACATCATTAA